CAGCTAAACCTAAAGGTGACTTTGCAGCAACTGCTTGTGGTGTTTGACGGGTCATCACACAGGTACACGCTCCTTTTCGAGCTCTTACCAGCGTTCACATGAGGGGTTGTGCATGTAGGGAATGGCAGCAGCTCTTCACACAGGCATCCCTTCTCCATCCTGAAGCTGGTGAAGGGACAGTGAAGATGGAGGGCAAAGATGAGATTTTGGGCTCTGCCAGCAGGCCCTCTGGCAACGATCGCCGTGCTGCAACTGCACAAGGTTGGCTGGCAGGCAGGCAAACCACCTGCTTGTTTCCAAACTGACTGTGGACACGTGCGTCAAGGGCATGAGGCTTTCAGGCAGGTAAAAACAAACCAAAAATGAAAACATTTTTAAATTATAGAGACGGGGCAAGGTTGATTGTGAACACACAAGTCCGCATCAAAACAAGAGCACGTGTAAAGATTAAAAAAAAACCCATAAACAGTAATTGCTTTGCTGTTCGGTTGTGTACAGAGCAATTCATGGCTGTGATTAATTCATTAAAACATCATTAAAACTCCAAGTGAGCTCAGGCTTAGCCAGGCAAGAGCATGAGTATTTCAACTGGCATTATAAATGGCACATTTGAAAACAGTAGTCAGCTACTTTTCCAGCTTTTCTGAAAAAAAAAAAAGGCTTTGACAGGTCAGAGCCTCCCAGCTACAGCCTATGTTCCGGTCTTCAAGGAGGGGAGGAAGGAGAAATGATCATTTGCAGTCACACACTTGGAATTTTCATTTTTCCCTAGCTTGCTCTTGGGCAAACGATTCACTTGACTCTTCCAGAGCCCAAGTCCTGGCTCTACGTAACGGTCCTGGTTTGCCCCTGTATTTCCTGTACGAGATGGTGACATTTACAGCAACTTTCCGAGTCCCTCGCCTGGCCGGCTCGTCCTTGCGGAGCCACCGACAGAGCAGTGGCAGAAGGCAGCTACTCCAGCCGAGATTTCTGTAAGGAGTCACCTGTGGACAGTCACCGGCCGACAGCAGAGTGAGTCAGAGGAAATTATTGTTTATCGTTTACGGAACGCATGTGACACTGAGCGTGTTTGAAAGCAAAGTCCCTGCCTTGAATAGCTGAGATTTAAATTAGCTGAGGCAGCAGGGGAGGAGGGAGGGCAAGCAAAAGCAAGTCTGGCCGATTCATGGCACAGTGCCCAGGAATGGGTCACCAAGCAGGAAAGAAAACCCCGGCTCCATTATCCACACCAGACCTGCGCTCGGGTGGCGGTGACTTATTTCCTGCAGAAGTCTCAAAACACAACCAAAGCCTTTTTAGAAGAGAACTTAGCTTCTGCTGTGATGCAGATAGGGCATCGTATTTTGTTTTCACGACTACTGGTGGAAAAGTCCCAATAAATGAGCCCTAAACTGGCAAGTATTTCTGCAAAAGACTAGCAGATTGTACACATGGCGGGTACTGTGCACAGATGGTACGGACAGATGGACTCTGGCGTCCCCAAACCCTGAGTTGATGTGATGAAGGGAAGAAGTATCCTTGAGCGTTCATTCATCGAGTTGGAGCCTCTTGGGTAGGATGAAGGATGCAAGGGTGAGCAAACAGAAAATGGCACAAAACAGTGACCTAGTCGAAAAGCTACCATCAGAAGGGCGTGTGTTTACCTAGAGGTTGGGAGGGAAAGGAAGAATTGTAATTAGGTCACAGGGCCCAAAAGATAAATAACAGGACAAGCTTATCTAATACCTGGGCTGTCGGTATGCAAACGCCAGGACAGGGGATGAACGAACAATTAAGAGTTTTTACACGGCTAATTATGACGACAGAAGATCTGTGGAATAAAATCACTAGATTAAAATATTTTTAATAAAAAGCTACGGAAAAATCAAAGGGGAAAGTACTGGAGCTGTGCCACAAGAGCTACAAAAAGAGCTACCTGCTCAAGAATAAAAGGAACTAGGTTTTGATAAGAATTAAGTATTTGTTGGAAAAGCAGCACAGTAGGAAACAGTCTGCCAAGTTCTTGCCATAGTTTACGTGAGTTATGGGAATGGCTTTAAGTCAACCATGATTACTAGGATGAAACTGGTTAAGACCAAAACCATCTACGGAAGCCAATCATGAAACGAGCTTGTCATTCTGGAGGAAGGAAAGAGTAAATAGCAAAATAAATATCTTCCTGCATACTTCCATAAACTCAGAACTATTAGAAAGCTTCCTGTCAAGATAATCCACAGATATAATATAATCTGATTTTTTTCATGTTATTAGGAAGAAGCCTAAACAAACGCAAAAAGTACATCAAAATGTCTGACCAGAGAACATTCAGCAGCGTGGTTTTTTTTTGCTTCAGCTGACAAAAAGAGGCAAACTATGATCCAACACCCCTGACAGACAGGAGCACGAACAAAAGCTGATTCAAGAGTATCTGCCTCAGCTACACGTGTTCTGCTCCACTAATTTAAACAAAAGCATATTCAAAGACCAGCAGATAATTTGAAAAACAAAACCAATCAAATGAAAAAACTTAAAGGAGGTTCGTACAGTTTTTGTTGTGCTAGAGAACAACAAAACAAAGCCGACAGGTAAATCGGGGAAGAAACAAAGACTCTGGAATTTTAGGTGAGTCAGGCAACATAAAAAAATAAAAATATAACAAGTTAATAACAAGGGAAAAAATATAACAAGTTAATTTACTGAGCTTTTCTAACTCTTTGAGTATATACATGGAGATGTATAGCACACGTGACAGGAAATCCGAAATTTAATGTCAATGTGAAGAAACCATCTGTGAAAGACACAAGCAGCACATCTACAACTGATTTAATTGCAAAACAATTTTACCAACAGGAAGGAAAGAAAATGACATTTTTCCATATTGCAGTCAGAGTAAGCAGTAACACCAGAAGTCAGGAAAAAAAAAATTTGTAAGGTAACTAGCCAAAAATGAGTCATACATCAGACCTTATGAAAAACACACAACTAATTCATCCAGTATTTACAGAGGCTTTGATTACGTAAAACAAACACAATCTTTCACAAATTCTTTAATTTAGAGTATTTCCAATTAACACTGAAAACTAAAAAGTGGTTTTGCAGCCCCCGCCCTCTGCCCCCCATTTGGCTATCATCTATTCTGGGATAACTTAGCCAGGAAGCTCTGGGATACGTATTAATTTATTCCCGTGTTACAAAGACAGCAAGCCAAAAAGTTGCCCTTGTAGCTGCAATTCTAAGCAGCAATGTTTATTTGTAATATATTTCTAAAAACAACTTTAAACATCAAACATTAATGCTTCTGTTACAGATGTCATCCCACAACTGAGCAAGCAGCAAGATGTAAATTTAAAACATACAGTATTGTTCTACATTAAAGAGAAGGGATCACACAGTTAAGCTTATGAAAACCCATAGGACAAATCAGCCTACCATAAAAAAAATTCCTGAGAATTTTAGGATTGCAGTCCGGACTCTCATTTTAAAAAGGTCCAGAGACAAGTACTTCCAATAGTAGCTTCAAACCTCTGAGCAAGAGCCCTACCAGTACGTGGCTCACTTTTTAAAGAGTTCACAAGAGGCAACTAAAAAAAAAGCAATCCTGTTGCAACTAGAATTACATTTACTAACCATAGTCACATGCACCTCCACTGGAATTCCTGCCCCCTCTCCCTCTGCCCCCACAAAGGTCCAGGAAAAGATTTGCAGTCCACTGATTCACATGTTCCAACGTAAGACAAAGGTAAAGCTGTGTGTAACTAAATGATTTTGGAAAGAATGTTTCATCATGTTAGTAAACAAAATCTCAGCACCTTGCAGATCAAATAATTTTTAACTACGTTATTTTGTTTAGCTGTTAAACATAGAAACCAAAGTCTAAAACCAAAAAAAAAAAAAAGCAATAAATTCTTGAACATAACACTGAAGAAATACATCAGCGATGTTCTTTGAGTACTATAACATTTTACTTCAAGTCCAGCAAAATTTCACCCATCCTATGATTTTTAAAGTACGCAAAATATGTACATAAAGGAAAGCAAACCCCACCAAAAGATGATCATAGATGTGTATATGTACATACAACATACATACACGGAATGTGCAAATTTCTTTTAACGCAAATTAAACAAAGCACACGCAGGATAGAGTTGTACAATGACAATGGAACATAAAGTATTCCAGGTATCCTAATGATGTTTCGTATCTACAGCCAGTGCAAACTTACAAGGCACAATCTCGATGCTGACACCGTAGTGTTGTAAGTTACATTCAGGCACATCTCAATTTGGAGTTCTTCAGTAAAGGATCAATGGAAGTGCTTCTTCTGTGCTAGAGTGTCAGCCATCTCTCCAAGTTTAAGCACTAAATTGATGTAACCTATATGCAATAGTTATCAGTAGGGTTCTGAGTTCATTTATCACTGGAAAGTCACCTGTTATACTCTCCTCGCATGTGAAAGTATGCTATTTCCCAAAATACCTCCCATACATCCTCCAAAGACTACCTCTACCTTGCCAGCCTTGACGTGGAATCTTACAGGGAATTACTAATGCTTTTTTCTAACTGTAGTCAAACTCCTGCAGAAAGTAAATTCAATTTTTTTTTTTTTAAAAAAAAACAAAACCAAAACCAAGAACAGCGAGCAAAAAACCTTCCGAGATACTTACATTTAACAAACTTTTGCTAAATTGCATAGTGACACGTGTGTATCAGCTAGTAGAGTTAAAAACAAACACTTGCTGTTTAAGGCAAAATTTGAACACAGCATAGCAGGAAAAGCCAAATACCAGTTCCATCAGGATTTAAAAAGTACTGGCCCACGTAGTCTTATTCTCACAGTGTTTTCTTTCTTACTTTAATAGCAAACCAACACTTGCAGTATCCTTGATGAGCAAATTTTGTTGCATTTTTCTAAATGAAATGAGAGCAATTAACACGTAGGCTGATTGATACTGAAAACACCCGACAAATATGTTCTCTTCCACCCCTCAAAAAAGGAGTTTTTGAGCCTACTGGGAGTTTAAAACTCACTTGTACCCAGGTCTAATATAATATCTAAAATTGAACTAGCCATTTAAAGTTTTCTAGTATTTAATAGACTTTACCACATTACTTGGCTGTCTCACCCTAAAAATTGTATTTTCATATTATTTTTCAATAAAAGACATTTAAGAGACATCTGAGGAAAACAATACAATACAAAAGCTTAAGGGTCTTTGCAAAGGTACCTTCTATTCCTTCTGCAAAGTAAGAAAGGAGTGATTTTATTGGCATTTACTTGAAGTGCCACCAATGAAGACAAAAGAATACAAAGTTCTGATGCTCCACGTGTATCTTTGGTTTAGCCTTCCTGACCAAAGTCTTCTGTAAACTTCTTTAGCTTCTCCAGGTCCTGTTCATTAACTGTTGGTTTTGTGCTAGAGAGCGACCTGAGCATATCAGCCTGTCAGAATAAAAAACCACAATAAACCACACAAGTTTTTTCAGAAAGGAGCAGAGTACCAATGCTAACATCTTCTTGCCAAGACAAATACGCATGAAAAAGCCCATTAAAACAAGATGACCACAGGACCTCTTATTTACACAAAACCTTAAGTATGCCTCAACATTTGTGCACAGAGGCAGCATTTTAACCCTGTGAAGACAGACAACTGTCAGTGACTTTCTTAATAATGAAACCACAGTCTCAGGTTTAGGTTTAAGCCACTCATCTACTCGAGTTTTATTCATCTCTTTTTCCTGAAAAGAACTGAACTTCCTTTGTTGCCAGTTCCTATTTTCAACTCATCTCTACCTACAGCAGTTTAAAGTGGAAAACAATCAGATGTTCCCATGGACTCTTCATAGTCCAACAACACAGAACAGTAGTTTGTGATTCATCTCTAGCAAAGTTTTACTGTTTGTTACTGGTAACTTCTGTCTCTTCAATTCAGTCAGTTTCTTAGATAAATATTTAGATACTAGAAAATCCAGTTCAGAAAAATCGCAGGTCTATGAAGGTGAAAGCAACAGTTAAAACACACCATTAATAAAAGGGGGCAAGAAAGCTGAAGAAAGAAAGTCCTAGCCAAAGGCAACTGAAAAAAGCAGATGCTAAACTCTTCATATTACTATAAAATTATGGGTAAAACTAAAAGTTAACATCATCATTTTCTAGACTTCGGATTTGTCTCATCAGACTAGAGATCTCCTGCTCAGAAGGAATTAAAGCCTGGTCTTTTTAAGGCCAAGAACTGATTTTGGACGCTGAAACAACCACCTACGCAACGATAGTGCACCGGAGCCCAGGTACTGTTAGGAGCAGCACACAAGGAGTTGTTACGCTTAATTCCAGGAAAGACTGATGAAAAATCTGCTTAGACCACGCAGGCAGAAGTTTTAGGGCAGGCCTACCTCTGCATACATCCTTTTGTGCTTCCTCAGTGTGCAAATATGCACAGAAAATTCTTTTCTGAAGTTATATTTACAAAGCGCTGCCTACTGGTTTAGAGGTTTGGATTCCCATGAAATACACTCATTTATTTCCTTCATTTGTTGGCACACAGAACTGACAGCAGCACAGATCTGCTATCAAGTCCTTCCCTCAAACATTGTACATAAAGTCAGAATCTTCTTTTGTTCTCTTGGGGAACAAAACATAATGAGCATCCAGCAGGTTTTTTTTTATTTTTAAACAGTGAACTAAAATTTCAATTTGTCTTAAAATGCATATTTTATTTCCTAGACCAAAGCAAGTATTTTAACACGCACAAAGAAAAGAGCTGAAAGAGCTGCACCACCTGTGAGGAAGTTTAACCAAAACTAACAATTACATCCGTCACATTTTTACATTTTCTTGTTTATGCTTGCATTTTTGAATGGGCAATATTGACAGCACATCACTTCCCAATCTACACTCACTATAATTTGCTGTTTCCCAGTATCTATATTAATGCTACGGAGTGATGGGAAGGGAAGCATATCATGGGGCAGGGATTGTGAAGGTTTTAAAGGAATAAAAGAAAAGTGAAAGATCAGTGGAAGAGCCAGATGCTGTGTATGGGTGAAAGGACAGCAGCTGCATGCCAGCAGACAGGAACAGTAAGGAAAATGTTTATCAGGGGTAGAGGGCTGGCTTTTTGACAAGCGTGCTGCAGTGCAGCACTGTATGTTGGGAATTCAAACATGACCCAGTATGTCCAGCATTTCTGAAAACAAACAACTCATCCAATTGCCTTGCATAACCATTTGAAAAAGAGCCTTTATTTACCTTAAAGTCTTTTCAGAGTTCTGCAAAGCAAGAAAGAAACACTACAAAAGAAAACTTACCATGGAAACTTGAGGCTCCAGTAATTTATCACCTGGAACCTCCATCCATGTCATTTCTATGGCTTCAGGATCACCTGGAGAGCAAGGGGTGAACAAATCTACCATCGTATCTGGGTTAGACACTGATGGTCCTTTTACCTAAAAATAAGAAAATACTCAGTTTATAGGAGTTATAATTTTAAAGACAAAACCCAGAAGCTGAACTGCATCTTGAGAGTGAAACCATTCCTTGATTTTATACAGGTGTCCCACCCCTTAGGAAGACATGTCCTGTGAAAGGGAAATTGTATCCATGTACTAGCATCATCCACTTGGAAAACACACAGCTGTAGCCAGATGCTTATATTCACATCAGGTCAAGGCCTGGCAGCCACTTCCTCCTAAGGTCAAGGATTTACATGGAAAACTAACACGCCAGGAAATCTAGTTGGAGAAGACCACCCTTCCTAGTCCTTGGTCACTTCAGGAGTGCATTCATCAACTGGTTAACAGCCTTCTGAAAACTCCTCAGCACTTATCCTTGAGTGGCCCTCAAGTCAGGAAGCCAGAGATGGCTTTTTAATCTTTGACATCCTGCACTGCAAAGTTCTGAGCACCTTTTCTGACACCACTGCAGCAGCACTCCACAGAAAACAGGGCCACCTACTGGGAGAACAGAAACGATGCCTTTTTTTCCAGACACATGGACAGACCCAAAAAAGCAGCACCAGGTGTCTGTTCCCTTTCTGCAACACCCAGAGTTTTGTTTTCCTTCATCTGAAGCATCACGCATCCACAGGAACTCAAAACACATGCCAGGATTGAAAGAGCTACTTTTAACAGCCCAGAACTGGATTTGCTCTTCCAAACTGCATTTAAAGCACAATGCTGAAGAGCACACACAGATTGTCATATTCAAAACCATAGAATCACAGAATGGTTTGGGTTGGAAGGGACCTCAAAGACTATCCAGTTCCAACCCCCCTGCCATGGGCAGGGACACCCTCCACTACACCAGGTTGCCCAAAGCCTCATCCAACCTGGCCTTGAACACTTTCAGGGATGGGGCATCCAAAACCTGTATCACCACATAGGGCAAGGAATGGTTTACACTGAGTTAGTAATAATTGAGGAAAGCACTATTTAACTGGGGCAAGTTGTCTGCTATGATGCAAATAATTAAGATTTTGTTTATAAAAATAGGAAATTGCATCCAACTGAAGTACTAACAGCACAAGTGGAATCAACTTGGCTTATGTCAGAGCCCTCGAAGTACTGAAGTTGTGGGGTTTTTTCTTTCACTTTTTGGGGGCAAAAGGAGATAAGAGGCAAGAATTGCTTCTGGGTTGCTCCACAAACTGTGACAGCTGAGGTTATTTCATTGCTCCATGGTAGTCTGAGACATGCCTTAGTCTTCCAAACTTGAACGAAAGGCTAAAAGGTAGCAGCTCTTCAGTCAGAAGTGTCACTGTCACTTAAAGTCAATAAATACTTCAATAAATACTTGAGGCATCACTGCTGAAGGGAAGGAAGCATCTAGAAAAATCCTTGGTGTATCAAAACAGCTGCTTTTTTTTAAATGAATACAGTTTACATCACAGTGTTGCTGCTGAGTTGCTCCCAGAAGAAACTTATCAAATCAGTGTTCCAAAATACTCATTTTGGTTTTGAACTGGGAAAAGCTCCTCAAAAACCCTTAAAATGTTTGTGTGGGTTTTTTTTTCCCCCTTACCAAAATGGAAGGCTGCAGTTTTATTTTAATAACTACAAAGTTGAACAAGGTTTCCCCAGTGCAGACTCTGGAAACTGATGTAGTCCTCTCATATTCTGGACCATATTGGATTAAGTGTTCCTTTCTCTACGAATCTTAAGCTGAATGTGTTCCTTGGAAGAAACTACATGGAAGAAAAAAGCCCATCTTCAATTCAAAATAACTGTAGCTGTTCAGTTTAGGGCCCTTAACCCTTTTATGCCAGTCTGAGTTACTGGTAAAAAAATTTTAATTGTAACTGACAGGACCAAGAACAAGTTGGCAACAACTTGCCAACACAAGTTACATGGTAGGTATCTCTTGACAGCTTAGGATCTGAAATTTTTCCTACCTTATCCAACCCCACACCTACTCTTCTAAGGAGCAACAAAATGAAAGCTTCCCTTTACAGTAGCAAAAACCTCTGCAGAATACCTTGACCCACCTTCACTCAAGATACAGGAATTCCTGTAAAATCAAATTTTGCAGTAAAAATGTAAACAAAAAATACTTTTAGTCTGGGTCTAGCCTAAAAAAATACTACCCAGGAAAAATATAATTTCCTTTAACCGACAGACATTGTATGTATTTGGAACTCTGTTTATAGCCATGGATAACATTACCACACTTTTGTTCTTTTTTCCTTTTAAGAGCTTAAGAGTTTACAGAGAACAATGAATTTAATTGAACAAGACCTGTATATGCGAATTCTCCAGGGGAAAAAAAGCATTCCCAGATTTAATGAAGAACCATATAACTTCACCTATAGAAAGAGCAGCTCTTCAAGTCAAACTTCTAATTGAATACATTTAACATTACCTAGAGACATGAAGAGTCACCAGAGCTTGGATTACATGGCATGAATACCCAGAAAATAACTCCATCAGATTTATGGCAGGACTTGGGGGAGGCGTGGGAGGGTGGGGGAAGGAAGAAAGAGAGGAGGAATACTCAAATTCTCTCTGACTGATAAAAAAAGACATTCATAAACGTGCAGTATTACCCCAAACCAAATTCAGTTTACTTGCAGGGAATTTTCAAATGAAGATAGTCCTCAGTGATTAAAGAATTCAAGGAATTTTTGATTTCTACTTACTTTTTTAAAGTGAGTAGCTGATTGCACTTTTCGAACAGGTTGCATTAGCGCATCTCGTACAATGATGCTTATATCTGCACCAGAATAGCCATCAGTTCTCTTTCCAAGCTCTCGATAATCCGATTCTGTTAGGAGATTTGGAGTTGAACCAAGGTGAACTTTGAACATTGCAGCCCTGGCATGGTCTTCGGGTAAAGGAATATAAATACGCTTCTCAAACCTGGTGTAAAAAAAGAAAAAAACCCAAATGTTCCGCAGATGCTAGCTCATGCAGGTGCATGGTGGAAAGAAGTGTATGCAAGTAAGTATATAGTTTGTTCCTAACAATATTAGAAAGAAGTAGCTTCAGTATTATAAATCTTTTTAAAATAATAAGGCAAATATTCAACAACCTGTTGTCATAAATAATACTGTAGCTAGCAGAAGCTAACATCCAGAATATAAGAACTACTTCCTTTTCGTGACAAAGATCATCTCTTCAGACTGAAATTTTTTCAGATTGTCTCCAGCAGAGTTTGTGTTTTAAAAGTAAAAACTGAAGGGGAAAAAGCTTTCACGCTCAAAGAAAGAACCGCCTGATAACAAACTGACACAACCACTTTCTACAGTCTCCAACTAAACTAAAGAAAACTTCATAGTTGGAAGCAAATTGAAGTCACATTCTCAATCCAGTTAGTAGAAAATGTTGATAACTGCAGTTCTTCCTGTGAAGCAGCATCTGTTCTCACAGTGGGGATTACCTCCCACCAACAAAATAAAAGCGATTCCAAATTCTGTAGAACACAATTAACTTGATATACATGACAAAGTCGGCCAAATCCATAAAAAATTAATTTGATTACTGCCATTGTTGTACAAGTTCCTTTAA